CTGCGGGCTGCTAGAGGCACCGGAGACATGGCCCGGGCCGCCTCCGGGGTTCCAGGGCCCGGACTGGGGACCTGAAGGAGCTCTGGGGAGACCCGGGGAATGCAGGGCATTTGGATTCATGCAGTGTCACCCATGAAACGGATGCGGAAAGAAGGTTTTAAGACTGCTGTCTTGGGTGCAGGATGTTTGTTGGGAAGCGGAGAGAGAGAGCCGGCTCTGGGCAAGTTGTCCTCCGGCAGGGGCGATAGCTACACCCCCGCGCACCCCACACACGCCACCACCACCACTACTTTTCCTTGAGTTTTGCATATACCCGATTCCATCAAGTTCTGAACATTAATTTTTAACCCTGGGCACGTGATTTTGAACACACCTAAGCAAGCAAGAAAAGTGCAGCAAATACAGGCTGGGAAATAGAATCTTTTCTCTGTAGTCTTAGTGGATGCCCGTGTGCGTTCCGGGGGTGCTAATTCTAGACACCACAGTCTGAAGAATAGTTGTTGGAAGCAAATAGTTCTGCCTGTAGGCATTCACGAGTTAACTTTTAAATAAAAGTTTTAAAGTTTTGAAAGGAGCGGGAGAAGACTTGTTCAAATGAAGGAACACCATCACCCCCCCCTCCAGAATACAAATTAGGTTTGCTTTCCATCACGTCAGGAAAAAGCAGCTGATAAAAATTATGTTTGTTTTACTGCGCACTGAGCGACACCAGTAAGAATTCAGAAACGGCCGTGGCTGGCGCAAACTCCCGGTGGTTCAGTGTGGGCATTGGAATAGGGCTTGCTTCTCCCAGCTTCTGAAACTAAACTTGAGGGCTACCTGTGCGCTCCTCAGGAACAGGTAGGCCAATTCCAGAATCCTCTTCATATGGCCATGTGAGAAAGAATTGAATTTATAGATGAAGTCAGCTGTGACCTGAAGCCCTGTGTCAAAGTAGTATCGGGATATTTATTACACATTGTTTCAAGATCCTACTTGGGCATGAGAGCATTTGCAACAGGTTTAGAACCGTGTCTTCCATGAAGTCTGTCAGGAGTGGAATGGAGGTGAAGTGGGGAGAAGGTACTTAGAAAATGCCCCCAGAAGCCACTGTGTTTATTTGTGAAAGTGTTTGTAATCATATGCACCCCATCTGCATATGAAAAGGCTGTTTCACTTGCAGTTTTCCTAGTTAAATAAAGTCAAGAGGTAACTTGTGCTTTCCTGTGCTTGAACTGGGAAGTAAGCCTTTTTCCAAGGGACCTAATATGGATCTCATTTTTGTAACACTGATGACTTATTCAGGTGGATGGTGAATATGGATGCATTTTCTGGTTGTAGCATAAGTGTCCACTAATGTGATGTGTCAGAACATTTTTGTCCCCAGTCTGCAGCGGTTAATAGTCTCAGGTTCTCCCACATATCTCTTCTCTTAGATCCCTTAGGATTTCATCCACCAGGCATTATTCATGCATGACTCCCACAGGCTCCAGGGAATTTGTTTCTCATGTTCTCAACATCAACAGTTTTATGCACTGTGTTCTTGTTCTGCTGCCAGGTTTGTCCCAGGCTCAACTCAGTTTACCTAAAATCTGATAGAGAAGAAGCTAAAATTCATTTGACCACAAGATTGTGTTTAGGGTTGCTGGACTTGTAAGTGCCCTGCAGTTTCCTGTACAAGACTATAATTCTTAAACTATTATGTGATTAGGTCTGTTTTGCCTTAACAGGTTCTGTGACTCAGGAAAATGAGAACAAGCCTGACTGCAGAGTATTCACAGAGCTTAGTTCATTTTTAGGCATTTGCTTTAGGATTTAACATGGTTTCAAAGTTCCGTAGCCCTGACCACTGATTCCATGGAAGACCCTCCTTGGTCATCTTTCCAAATGGTGTCCAAAACCTGTATCTTTGCAAACTTTCCTGCTGTTTCTGTCATTACTATTTATAGTGGCTGCAGGAATTCACAATGTGTACAATAGAGAATATGTGACGTAAGGATGAGGTTTTCCCTCCCAGCACTTGTTTGCTGAAGGAGTTAAACCATTCTCTCAATCAGTGGCCCTGGTGAGGAGAACTGTGTTGTTGCAGTTTTGAAGACTACGGTGCTGAGAAAGAGATAGTAGTCACTGTACCCAGTCTCCAAAGAGATTGTTGTTTGCATATCTGTTAATGTGCAAAGTCCTGCCACAGAGGGCCTATGCGGTGGCAGCATCCTCAAAAAGTGTAAATGTTTTCAGACGGTGGCTCATATTGAGTGATGGAGGGTGGAATGTGTAACCCATTTATGAATCAGATACCCAAAGCCAAAAAGGGAATACAGTTTATGTATTACTAAGCATGGTGAAAAAATATTTTCTTACCTTTATTTTCCATTCTTCCCTGCCAGTTAGGGGAAATGATACATGGAAATAGCTGGAAACCTTAACAGATAATTTATGTATATGAGGAATCTTTATGCAGCAAAAGCTGATTCCTAAACATTGTAGACCTAAATTTTCTTCATCCAGACTTAGGTAAAATGAAGATAAGATTTGAAAATCTTCATTCCTTTTTTAAGGGGCGAGTCTTCTAGGCAGCTCCGCAAGGATAAGGTGATTCATTTATGAAAGTGAGAGAGAATTTAAAATTATGTAACTCATGAGTTACTTTTCCAGCTGTGAGATGATTAATGTTTTTGTTTCATCTGTGTATACCTTAGACAAGTGTTTATGTTTAAATAAACAAGTATAGCGCAGGCTTACCCAGGGTTTATAAAAATGGAAACAATAATTATTTGTCTCCTGAGAAATTACTCCATTATCATGTGAGTTGAGAAGTTAATGTGAAGCCGCCAACCTAATTTGAAAGCATCACAGTGGTGCATCATTGGTTGTGTCATTAATGAGGATGAGTCGGGACAGGCTGTGAATGCCTCAGGAAAGACCATTAATGGACAGAAGGGTTGTTTCCCCTCAGGCTTTTCTTTGGGGCCTGTCCTAAGAGCATGCACACCCAGCAATCCCTCCACTCAGTTCTCGAAAGCTGCCCTCTGCTGGAGTCACAATTTGTACAACAGAGAATGTATGACCTAAGGATTAGGTTTTCCCTCCCAGCACTTATTTGCTATAGGAGTTAAATCATTCTCTCAAACATGGTCCTCTTGCAGACTGATCAGGGAACTCTTGTCTGCCAGATAGGTGAGAGATTAGTGTGATACATTTTCCTTTTTCTTTCCCCCTCCTCTTCCTCCATCCTCCGTAATTCCATGAATCAATGCTTGTGAGAAATGACAGCACAGACACTGTGGTCAGCGTCATCCCTGACTTGGACTTCTGTGATACTGGAAAATTATAAAATTAGGGAATCCTGGACTTGTAAAGATTAGAGCTGAAAAGACCAACTGAAGTGATCATCTGGTTGAGGTTGCTATTCAGAAGAGTTTCTTAACCACCCTAAATAAACATTTGGTAAAGGAGTAAACAATTTAAGAAGCTTGTAGCTTTAATATAGACATCAGTTTAAACCTATTTAAGGGCTTGAGAACCTACAGCTGTATCTTCTAATTTCTGATTAAATATTTTAAAAAATACCTAAGCCTAATCAGTTTGAAATAATTTGATGGGCATTAGTTCCTAAAAGTCTGCATTTGTTTCTAAATCTGAATTAAAGAGTTTTTTAATGCAATTTTATAACTTTTAGGGTTACGTAGAAGCTTTAAGCAAGATATATTATGCTGTCAGAACAAAGTCTTATCACACAAGTTAGTAAATAGGGTTTAATAATATAGAGAACTTGGAAGCAGAGGTGCAAACTAATAGAAATTAGGACTTTTTAAGTCTCTGTAAAGTTTATTCTTCAAAATTAAAGCTTCACCCTGTCCTGTTGGGTTAGCAGTTTGTTTTATTTTGTCTTTTTTTCTTATAGATGGCTCGATTCTCCTTCACTCCTGGCTAAATGAACAGAATTTAAGTTGTAAGAACTCTGAATTAGTAATATTCTATCATACAGTAGACTCTTTAGCATTCTCTAACAGGATTCTGTGATTCATAACTGATCTCAAAGGTCCTTAAGACATAATCATTCATCATTTTGTCAAAGAATACATTTGGTCCTATATATTAAGAGGTGGGAGTGAGACTGTGGCTGATGAAAGAAGATATTGTAACTGCCATGTTCTTCATGCACATTGAAAATATTCTCTGCAGCTGATAATAATATATAGTATAATACTACTTCATCTCCTCCTCTCTCTCCCCCCAGAATCGTATTTTAAAAACGAACACTTGGCAGCTTGGACCTCTGCATTCTGTGTTTTCTTTCTTAAGATAAGCTGAAGTAAAACTTGGCTTACCATGTCTGCTGCTCAATGTAAGCCACATTAACATTCTCCACATTACTCAAAGGGAGGAGAGGATGGTACTCCAGGGCCCAAGATACAGTCATGTGGGAGATACATGACTCCTGCTAGTCTATGTCACATTTGGCAGGGATTCTGGTGTAGGTGGGGCATTTAGTCACCTAGACAGTAACTTACATAGAGAAAAGGCTGCTTGAGTCCTAAATAAGCCCAAGGGCTGAGTCCTTAGCCAGTAGGTGGGAATAATCATGCAGAACCATGCCCCACAGGTCTCCTAATGGGTTGTCATCACCACACCTGCCCTACTGCCAAGTTCTCCATTGGAGAGTAGGACTCTGCTAGCACTGGCATCCCCCTCCTAGTCCACTTAGCACCTTAAGTCTTGGCAATACTCCCAACAAGCACATGCAAACACGTGCGTGCACATAGGCAAGCACCCCAAGATTTCAAGAATTTGAAGAAATAAATGTATTTCCTTCCTACGGAAGGGAGCTGGGACCCTTCCTATTTGGAAAGATGGAGGCAAGTAGAGTTTCAAGGCATCAGGGAGTCCCAAGGAACCGGCTTTTCCAGGACCTTATTTCTTTCTTTTCTTATCCCTATTCTCCCTGACAGAAGTGGAACCCAAGAGGAAGAGTCAAGCAAAAAGATCCCAGAGGTGGGTGGAACACACGTATATTTTAGAAATGCAGAGTGTGGATATTGGGAATGAGGAGGGGCATGCTCAGCTACACTACATCAGATCATTGGGGTTTTCCAGTTTTATGCAAAAGAGGGCAGAAGGCTCCCGAAGTTGCCAGTAGATATGTACTCTCAAAGAGGAAAAGGATGAGAATAACCAAACAGTTTCTTCCTGACTCCTGCTGTGTTCCAAGCGCCTCTTGAGACCTATCCCTTCCTTGTCCTTGTTTTTGGATGCTTGGTTGTGAATGAGTTACCCTACCTGCTGAGTCAGCTTCTATTGAATCAAAAAAGTCAGAGCCACTGAGAGCCAACTGATGCTTAAACATTTATGAAAGTACTTTCAGTCTTCTTCATTGTTTTTCTTGTGGGTTGATTGATCTGGACATTTGAACATACCTTGGAGTATAAAATCCAAACTCCTTCATTTATACACATAGCTCTTCAGAATCCAGCTCTTGCCTGTTGCCTCCACCACTTCCTGTGCTCCACCCTCGCTGAGTTAAGTGTGATTCCCAAAATGACTCACATGGTTGCATATTGCTGTGCCCTTGCACAGACTTTTGTTTCCCTTCCCTAGGTATCCCCTTCTGTCTTATATTATCAGACTTCTTTTCAACTTCAGCACCCATCTGAAGCATCAGGTGATGCCTGGAAAGTTTCTAGGGCAATTTGTTCATTTAGAGGGTACATTTAAATTACACAGCTTACTGAATGACCAAAGCATCAAAGCGGGACAGCTCCACAGTGTCACCCTTACTGGGACTCCTATTGCTTCTAAACGATGGGTGCATTTGAAAAGAATGGGTGCATTTGCCAAATAATACATTCGGTCCTCTATATTGAGTGGTTGGAGTGAGGCTGTGGCATGTAATCTCTCAAGCATCACTTCCCCTGCAAGGCCTCTCCTGTTCTTACTCCCCACAACTGGCCTCAAGCCCTTTCTCTGAGCTACCACATCATCCATGTCATTAGCAGTCAGCAGGCACCATTCATTCACTTTTCCATTAATACAAGCATCCATTTAACAAATGTGTGTTGAGTGCTAAAATAGGCCCCAGTTTAAGGCATTTAGCTGGGAATGCAAATACAAACAACTGAAAAAGTAACCAATGGTAACAATCATGTTATACTGATGCAATATTAAAGCTTTAGATATTGACAAAGATCCTGGTAGTGTACAACATAATCCAAGGAAGGAGAAATATTTTATTAGAGGCCTAGCCACTCTCGAACTCAATATATAATAGTAAAGGTTGTTGTAAATTCAAAGCAAAAAAAATAAAAAAAGTCTCATACCTTTCTCAAATGTACCATCATTTAAAAACCATAGGAGTGGTGGTAATTGTGACGCCTTGGAGCTGTCTTCCTTTGATGTCTCAGTCACTCAGTAAGCCATGTAATTTAAATTGATCCTCTGAATGAGCAAGTTGCCCTGAAAATTTTCCAAGTACATGTTACAATGATAATGAGAGAGAAGAAGGAAGGAAAGGCAGGGGCATCAGGAGGATAGAAGAGGAGGTTTCGAATCAAGCACAAAGAGGGCTCAAAATTACATGGATATTGGGGCTGGTCAATCGATTAGCCAGGGGACTAATGACTGTGTGTATGCTGCTCTGCAGTCTGCCATCGTTTGGGGCATCTTAAACACAGAAGGGAAGGAACACCCAATTTCACTTCAGGCACCCAGCCACAGGAACGTTCCCAAGGTCAAGCCCTTGCATTGTAAGTGAGACGTTATCTAAGGATTCCTCTCCACACCCTGATTCCTGAGGAGGGTTCACAGACTTAGAAACAATGACAGGCCTGCTGCTGGGCTTTGCTGTCTGCAGCAAGTGAACGTTCAGCCCTTGCCCTCCTGACCTGCTTGTCTTTGTTTCTGCAGAACAGTGCTCAGCATGGCGGGGATTCCAGGGCTCCTCTTCCTTCTCTTCCTCCTTCTGCTCTGTGCTGTTGGGCAAGTGAGCCCTTACAGTGCCCCCTGGAAACCCACTTGGCCTGCGTACCGCCTCCCTGTCGTCTTGCCCCAGTCTACCCTCAATTTAGCCAAGCCAGACTTTGGAGCGGAAGCCAAATTGGAAGTATCCTCTTCATGTGGACCCCAATGTCATAAGGGAACTCCACTTCCCACTTATGAAGAAGCCAAGCAGTATCTGTCTTACGAAACGCTCTACGCCAATGGCAGCCGCACAGAGACGCAGGTGGGCATCTACATCCTCAGCAGTAGTGGAGGTGGGGCCCAACACCGAGACTCAGGGTCTTCAGGAAAGTCTCGGAGGAAGCGGCAGATTTACGGCTATGACAGCAGGTTCAGCATTTTTGGGAAGGATTTCCTGCTGAACTACCCTTTCTCAACCTCAGTGAAGTTATCCACGGGCTGCACTGGCACCCTTGTGGCGGAGAAGCATGTCCTCACAGCTGCCCACTGCATACATGATGGAAAAACCTATGTGAAAGGAACCCAGAAGCTTCGAGTGGGCTTCCTGAAGCCCAAGTTTAAAGACGGTGGTCGAGGGGCCAACGACTCCACTTCAGCCGTGCCTGAGAAGATGAAATTTCAGTGGATCCGGGTGAAACGCACCCATGTGCCCAAGGGCTGGATCAAGGGCAATGCCAATGACATTGGCATGGATTATGACTATGCCCTCCTGGAACTCAAAAAGCCCCACAAGAGAAAATTTATGAAGATTGGGGTGAGCCCTCCAGCTAAGCAGCTACCAGGGGGCAGAATCCACTTCTCTGGTTATGACAATGACCGACCAGGCAATTTGGTGTATCGCTTCTGTGATGTCAAAGACGAGACCTATGACCTGCTCTACCAGCAATGTGATGCCCAGCCAGGGGCCAGCGGGTCAGGGGTCTATGTGAGGATGTGGAAGAGACAGCAGCAGAAATGGGAGCGAAAAATTATCGGCATCTTTTCAGGGCACCAGTGGGTGGACATGAATGGCTCCCCACAGGATTTCAATGTAGCTGTCAGAATCACCCCTCTCAAATATGCCCAGATTTGCTATTGGATTAAAGGAAACTACTTGGATTGCAGGGAGGGGTGACACAGCATTCCTTCCTGGAAGCACTTAAGGGTCTTCATGTACCTATTTTAGGAGATGCTAAATTGTTTTTTGTGATTGGCGTGCACGTGTGTGTGTGTGTGTGTGTGTGTGTGTGTGTGTAATGTGTCATATAATCCACCTAATTTCTTAAGATTGCAAGATGACTGACTTTATCATTTGAAAACCGGTTTGTGTATCATATCATATCATTTAAGCAGTTTGAAGACCTACTTTTGCATAGATTTAAAAAAATACTGATGTTTGGGGCAATGGAGAATATTTGACAATTAAGTTAATCCTTCACATTTTTGAAAACTTTGATTTTGATTTCATCTGAACTTGTTTCAAAGGTTTATATTAAATATTTGGCATACAAGAGATATGAATTCTTATATGTGTGTATGTGCGTTTTCTTCTGAGATTCGTCTTGGTGGCAGTGTTTTGTTTTGTTTTGTTTTTTTTCAGTGCCTGATCATTAATGCTTCCATATGGTAGCGTTTCCATTTAGAAACATTGACAACATTTCTTAGGCAGATAGAATATTTTGGATTTGGGGGCATTTGCACAGTAGTCTTTGAACAGTAAAACAATGTGTTGACTATATTGATACACATATTAAACTACACCTTATAGCAAACCAGTATCCCAAGCTACTTTTAGTTCTGAAAACAGTTTCTCTTCCAAAGGCTGTTGCTCTACTTTGTAGAAAGTCTTTGCATATGGCCCTCCCAACTTTAACGTCATACCAGAGTGATCAGGAGTGTTTATCCCAATCCTTCCATTTAACAGGATTTTACTCACATTTCTGGAACTAGCTATTTTTCAGAAGACAATAATCAGGGCTTAATTAGAACAGGCTCTGTTTCCTCCCAGCAAACAGTTGTGGTCACACTAAAAACAATCATAGCATTTTACCCCCAGATTATAGCACATCTCATGTTTTATCATTTGGATGGAGTAATTTAAAATGAATTAAATTCCAGAGAACAATGGAAGCATTGCTCGGCAGATGTCACAACAGAATAACCACTTGTTTGGAGCTTGGCACGGTCCTCCAGCCTGATAAAAAAATTATTCTGCATAGTTTTCAGTGTGCTTTCTGGGAGCTATGTACTTCTTGAATTTGGAAACTTTTCTCTCTCAGAGTAAAAATAATTGGAAGTTACTTTAAGAAAAGCAGTGTGGCCTTTTTCCCACTAGCTTTAAAAGGGCCGCTTTTTCTGGAATGTTCTAGGTTATAGATAAATAATTAGGTATAATAGTAAAAATGAAAATTGGGAGATTGCAAAATGGATCGGCATCATGCCTTCCAATAAAGGCCTTTACAAATGTTTTTATCAATATGATTATCAAATCACAGCATATAAAGAAAAGACTTGGACTTATTATATGTTTTTATTGTATGACTCTCAGCCTAAGCGCTTCTTTCTAAATGTATCAGGGAGAAAAAAGCAAATAGACTACAAGGCACATGTTTTCTGTGCTTGCAGGCCAGGTAAAACTGCATTGTAGCAATTTGTGAGGATATTCAGACAGAGCACTCTTGCTTAGACATTCTCTGGGGGGCCTTTTTGCTTGTCTTTCTTGAGCTTTTTGAAAGGATAATTCTGATAAGGCACTCAAGAAATGTACAACCACAGTGCTTGCTTCAAATCATGTAAGAAATACAATGCACATGAGTTCCAGCACAATTTACTTTGGAATCTAACAGGAATCTAGCCCGAGGAAGAAGAGAGGTCTCCATTTCTATGTCTGGTATTTGGGGGTTTTGTTTGTTTTTGCTTTAGCTTGGTGAAAAAAAGTTCACTAAACACCAAGACCAGAATGAATTTTTTTTTTTAGATAGATGCTACTTTTATGAAGCACCTTGATTCCTTGATTTTTTGCAAAGTTAGACAATGGTACAAAGTCAAAATGAAATCAAAGTTTAGTTCACAAGTAGATGTAGTTTACTAAAGAATAATACAGCCCATATGCTATATACAGCTTAACTCATAGAACCATAAAATAAAGTTGTAAAATAATTCAACATGTCCATCCTTTTAGTGATAATAAAAGCATGATATTAAACTATCATAGTTGACAGAAAAAGAAAAAAATGGCTCATGGTATTATTAATATAATTAGTACTTTACATGTATTAATTACACACATTAGAAGCGTATTTGCCTAGTAAGGCTAGTAGAACCACGTTTCCCAAAGCGTGTTCCTTAAACACTCGTGCCTTATGATTTTCTACCAAAAGTAAAAAGGGTCATATCACCAAGTCAGAGGAAGATGCCTCTCCATTTTCCCTCTCTTTATCAGAGGTTTGCATGCCTCTCTGTACATTAAAAGCTCTGGGAAGATCTGTTGTGAAGAGACAAGTTGAGGTTATAAAATCTGCATGTAAATAAACATCTTTGATCACAAAACCCTTATTTTCTCATATAATACCTATAAGCAATCTGGTGTTCTAATAAATACATTCTGGGCATCTCTGTAACAGCATTTTGGTAAAGGTGATAATTAGAAAGAATGATGAGTCCCAGTGGGGTCAGGTGTCAGTGCCTTTAGGGTTTAACCAGACCCTGTAATCAGGATTTGGAAATCTTCACAGTGTGAAATAAACAATAAATTTGAAAATTATCTGTCCCTGTGAATCAGAAGTATGTGGAAGAATTGGGGACACATATTTTACATAGACTTTACTCCAACTTTTGAATTTTGGGAAGGAGATAGTGTTTTTAAAAGGTGGAAAATAACCTTAAAGAAAATGGCCTTAAGGAGGAACTACGAGCCCGTAAATGGCAGAGTTGTGTGTGTGTTCTTTCTTTTTACTGTTTTTGGACCAAAAAGGGATTGCAATACCAAGGTTATGCTCCCAATTCCCTGTTCTTTGTGTAGCTCAGCCTACCTGCTTGAAGGGAAGGGAAGCATGGAGTGATGCCTGGATCACGTATTCAAGGAATCGCTCTCTCTCTAACAAACCCTACAGGAGGTCTTTAACTCAGAGCTTGTTATGGATGACTCAGCCTGCCCTGGAATGACGGCTCTAGGCTACTGTCTGCTAACTGAAGGGTAAATGGCAGCCATCCAGTGTGTACAGAGGAATTCTGACAGTGATCCCCAACACTCACTGAGGGCTTCCTTCTTACTTTGCCTGGGTTCTGCTGCTGTTTGTGTCTGCACTTTTTCTTTGTTCTCGTCATGAACCAGTTCAAGTATGTCTTGAAGTTGCCTCTGCCCATTGACTTCTATGGATGTTTGTTAAGGCAGCCATTTCATTTATCATTCAGAATGGGATTCTTTTGAAAATGCTGTGAATAATGAGGCTGGGACAGCAGTTGTAAGCCAGGTATGTCTTGACCAACAGGCATGTTTGGTCACTTAGTTGTGAACCTTTCAAAGCACTGTATAGAGTGCAGGCTGGCAGCCATTCTTGCTAATCAATGAACAGAGGTGGGGCTGCAGCTCCCTGCATTTCTCCTCTCTGGGCTTCCACTGTGAATCCTGTGATACTTTCTCTGCCTGGCTCAGCATTTTGAGGACCTCCAATAGGGGAAGAGCATTTAAAAATCCTTTTGATGAGGTGGGGTCACAGTACATATATGGTAGACAGGAGGCCATTTCTGGAAGATGAATGACACATCTGCTTTTAGTCTGGGGTTCCCCCGGAGGAAGAAAGAAACCAGCTTCCAGAACAAGAGTAAACAGAGCATGCCTGGGCATGGTGGCTCACGCCTGTAATCCTACCACTTTGGGAGGCCGAGGTGGATGGATCACTTAAGGTGAGGAGTTCCAGACCAGCCCTGCTAACATGGTGAAACCCCTTCTCTACTAAAAATACAAAAATTAGCCGTGTGTGGTGGTACATTCCTGTAGTCCCAGCTGCTAGGGAAGTAAAGCAGAAGAATCGCTTGAATCCAGGAGTCAGAGGATGCAGTGAGCCAAAATTGCACAACTGCACTCCAGCATAGGCAACAGAGTGAGACTCTGTCTCAAAAAAAAAAAAAGAGAGAAAAGAAAAAAAGAGTAAACAGGGCTGAGAGCTGAGATAGCAGCCTGGTATGGGAAGATAACGGCCTTGGAGTTGGGCAGACTGATTCCATAGTTGCCTACTTCCTTTTGGCAAATAAATCTCAATGCAGTATGGTTTAAAATTTAAACCCTCCTATATGATTTAAGGATCCTCCCTCTTCTGGATTTCAGCTTCTCAGTGGGTCAGTTGAAGCAGAGGAAGAGAGAAAGGAGACAAGCATCTTTATCTTTATCACTGCGATGATGTTCTCTCTTCAGTGGTCGCTGCTTTTCAGATAACACCAGCTCTTCTACCCTCCTTAGCTCTTACCTCTGGTGATATAACCCTCTGTCTCCTGCTTTTGGGGCACCTTTGTCTAACAGATAGCTCTCTCAAGTAGACAGTCAGCAAGATGCTTCAAGCCTACTCATCTTCTTTCCTATTTGCACAACCCACAAGAAACTCATAGGCTTGCTACACCTGTGTGTTAGTAGCTCATTGAGAATCTGAAAGGGAATGTATTCAAACCTGAATAAACTGAAGTGCAAGGGACCCTGGCAGGATCAAATTCATTCTGTTTAAGAGACAGATGGGTAAGAGTTCAAAAAGATATATAGTTCAAAAAGATAGCCAGAATCTATCTTTTTCATATAGAAATTAAGGATTCTGGCAAGATCTTTTTAACTCATCCTACAAGGACGTTAGGTAGGAGCCCCGGTGGGGTCTAATCAGGACTGCCTTATCTGTGAAGGTACAGTAGGCACAGTGCCTAGGGCCCACAGCAGTTTTAGAGATCACACAGAAACATTTTAATTTATTTTAAAATCAGAAGAAGAAAGTGAATTTTTAGAACTAATAAAATGTGTTAATATAATACTAATATATTTATTTATTAACAGTCATAAAATATAATTTTTAATATTTTTTAATGGAGGAGGAGACCCATGAAGGCAACAGTGCCTTGGGCCTACGAAAGCCACAGTGCAGCCCTGAAACTAATTCATATTTTATAACTCTTTGGATGCTGAATGGAAAATGGATTTTAGGCAGTGGGAATGGGAAAACTAGTGGCCTCAAAGAAACCAAGAGAAAAAGGTTGGAAGCCAAGTTGAGAGAGGAAGAGACTAGGGGTGGGACAAGATCAGATTGTTCTTTAGATTGTGTTGAGAAATGTCCCTCTGGCTGTGGTGGAAAGACGGGGCAGAGGGCAGGAGACCAGGGAGGAGTCTGTCTAGTCCTCCAAGCCACAGCTGTTTTCATGACAAGCAAAACCCTGCCTTATATATCTCTGTGCGCCCACCATGCGAGCACAGGGCACAGTGCACCAGGTGTGCTTATCATGCTGTGAATGAGTGATTGATTAACTGAATCCTCCGGGGACACTTGGGACAGCTCTGCCCACAGGAAGAGCAAGAACCCAGGCATCAATGGGGTAGTGCACACGTGGGCTCAGGGTGGCCCACCCCTCCTGCCTGACCTAATGTCTTCTGAGAGGCAGAAAGTACAGGGTGACTCTTCAGTGTGATATTTGTCTATGTGTACATCAAGTGTGTAAACATACCTAATGCTCTTTTAGTCTTGATTTATCACTGCCCTTGTCTTTGGGCTATCAAAAGGACTAAGGCCTTCTCTTCCATAAAGAGCAAGAACAGCTTTGAGAAGCGTCAAGTTCCAATCCAATGAAGAAAGACTGAAGTGTTTGCCTTAGAGAGAGTGAGAAGAGTCTCATGAAATGAAATAAACAGAATAAGGGGCTGGAAACCGATCAGCCGTCGTGGAAACAGCAGCAGATCTTGCCATCCAATGAGCTGTCTTCTCAGGACGGCCTTCCCTGGCCATCTTCTCTGGAGTTCAATGCTTCTCAGCCCCTGGGTTGACAGTTCTTATTGCCCTTCCCTGTTTTATTCTCTGCTTTGCACTTGTCACTAACTCTATGTCATATTTATTTATTTGTCCTCTGCCACTAGAATGTAATTTCATGAGGGCAGGGGTTTTTGTCTGTTGTGTCCCCACAGTTAGAACAGTGCCTGGCACGTAGGTTCTCAGTAAATAATGCCATTCAAATGGATGGTTGGATGAATTATTCCAGATGCTTTATATAACCTAAAACATGATGACTTAGGATTACTTGAGCTTGAAGATTCCTGGATCCCAAATGCATCCCAGAATAAAACTCTTGTGGTGTGTTGTATGTATTCTGTTCTATTCTAGCATGTATTACATGGCTGTTTTTATTTATGTGTCTGTCTTTTCTACTTGACTGAAAGCCTTGCAAGAGCAGGAGCTGAGTTCTGTTCTTCTCTGTTTTCCCTTTTCTGTCCCATGGTCTAGCACAGGAAATATTTGGTGAGGAAATGAATGTCTGTCTCTCTGTCTGTCTGTCATGACTTAGCCTGTCATGACAGAGATCCTCTCCCACATCTCACAGGCAACAAGTTAGAGTTTTGCGCTGTGCATTGCCTCCTCTCCAGCTCCTCTGTCACTGCCCTGATTTCACCTTGTTCTTTCTGCTTTAACTATGACAGCGGATTCCAAACTGGGTTCTGAGCCTCCTAACTCACCCACAACTGCCCAAGACACGTTTTGAGGCAAAGACCTGACCAGACCCCTCCCCTATGTTTCCTATTGACTAAATGTTGGTCACTTGAGGACCAAGTTTAGTTTTCTTAACCTTGAATCCATGAACCATCCAATATAGTGATCAGATTTATCCCTTATTGCTTCCCAGAATCACACAGTCTGGCATCTAGCCAGGTTGTACTGAACACATCCGTGTTTTCAACCCTCTATCATTGTTCAAGCTCTCTCACACTCTAGCTAGGCTGCCCTTCCTCCATCTCTTCAATTAGTGAATCATTCAGTTATTCATTCAGCAAGCCCACCTTGGTGCCAGTCACTGTGCTGGGGCTGCAGAGATGACGGAGATACATCCCTGTGCTCAGGGTGTTCATACGACTTCTCATTTTGAGGTCACTGTAATCATGACTCTTGCTGTACCTCCCAAAGTGATGAGGCTCGGTAACTACCCTCTCCACAAAAACATCTTGGTCTCAGTGCAATGGAATTGCCACTTTGTAAATTGAACGAGTTGAATGTTTCCCATACATTTTAACAAATCTTTGAGTTGCCATCCTGCCTGATTATTACGTTTCCTTTCTTGAATTTATTAATACTTGCTCCACATCCAGTTCCCTGATGGAAAATGCCATGTTTGGTAAACTAATATAACCCCAAGCATGACTAATATCCTCTGTGGATAAGCCATTCCGGGACATAAGGACACTGTCCTTTTAAAGTGACACGTTTTACCACTCCGGAATAACTTCCAGACCAGCTGAACACAGAGTTGGAATAGAAATGCCACCATTTTGTTTTTCTGTTCTCACAGGAAAAATGTGTTGGTTGAATATAACA